CTCACCTAGCTAGTATGAGAATGAAGGTAAAGATGACCTCAGACTGAACTCAACTTCAGCTACCTACAACAATACGGGTTTTCTTGACATCAATCCAGAAATAGTTTGCCATCTTGTTCTTCGGATTTTTTTTTTTTTTTTTTTTAGAAAAATGTTCCATCCAGCCTAGTAGTGTTCTGAATATTTAATCAAATCAAGAACTTTGGCCATGGCTGCTACAATTCAGAATATGCTGACCAGGGATTAAAACCACAGCAAAAGCCATATTTCAGCAACCACGTTTGCAGGTCAGGCACAGGCTACCAATAGTGTTCAGAAAGGGTACTAGTTCCATGATGTTCAGTGGTCAGTTTAAGTTGTGAAAGAGAGCTAATTTCTGCCAACTGCATGTTGCCATTTCTGCCAGCCCAGGTACAAGTTTTCTGCTGCCTCTGCCAAAAAAGTTACATAAAACCATGCTATTTATTATTATTATTTTTAAATTTCTCCAAAGACTCATGGAAGAGTGCTATACTCTACCTATTACCATGACCTGTTAATTAATTCTCCCTGGTCCGATCTTGATTCCTATCCCTCTTTCTATAACACACTGTGGTTACTTCTGTCCTTGATATGTGGATACCATTTTACCCATTTCATTTCAACTATATGCAGCAATCTGTTGCCTAATTTCAGAAATCTTTTAAGCCATTCCTTGGCTCTATCTGGACACAGCTGGGCACAAGATCAGAACTGGAGTCTTTGGTCACTCATTGCCACTACCACCTTTGCTTTCCAACATTAGTTGAGGACCGAGTTTTCATGCTATGGATTGTGCTTTCAGTGATCCTTCTTCTTGCTTCTCCTTCCTTACCAACGAGTTATCTGGCAGTTGGGCTATTTCTGAACATAGGTTTAGTGCTGCACCCGTGTCCTGAAATAGCCTGACTGGCAGGTAACAGATGCAAAGAAAGGACTGAACTTAGCAGGGGCATTGAGGAAACTCCTATTCATTTCACGCTTCTTTCTATGCCTGTTACCTGGTCTATAGAAGAATATGGTATTGAGGATGGTGGACAAAAATAGCCTGGGTTGACAGGAGCAGAGACTGGAGGAAGGATTGCAAGAAGCATTCTGAGAGCTCCCTAATGCCTGCCATTTGTTACTGAAACTGGACAATGCTTAACTGTCTAGATATTGGTGCCTTCATCCTAGATACTGATTTGAAAGTGAATGCTTGATGGAGATCAGAGAGGTTGGCCTCAAAATAGTTTAGAATGGAGAATGGATTGGCTGAAGTTTCAAAGTTTCACCCTAGAAGACTCAAAATTCATATGCTGAAGTATGAGATCACAATCAACAGCAATGAGAGAACCAACATCAGAAACATAGCCAACTTTCTATGAAGAAGGCCCATTTGGTCAGATCTAGGACATTTATCTCAGAGCTGGGGTTTCTGCAATTGTCACAGGGCTTCTGTCATGGTAATAACACAGAATTTGTATAAAACATAGTGGAAAGTTTGTTTTCTGCTTAGATGTTCTAGTACTGCTATTCCACACCACTTGCACCTGATAGTTTTTAAGCTACTTTGTCTTCTGGCAGGAGTACCCAGGAGGTGATGATTTTTGTATGCAGATATTTGACTACTTATCTTACAGGACTTTCATTATTTTGTTTATCAAACACATTTTTGAAGAATCAGTAGTCCCAGTTAAATAAGTGGGACTTCCTTCTTACAACAAGGCCCATGCTATACTATACTATGAAGATGTTGGAGGAGATTTGGAAATCCTGTTGTAAGGGCTTGTTTCTTTGCTCTGTATAGACTGGGACTCTAATAAAGGTACACAAATATACCAGGAACTTGAATACTTTGTATCACTGACTGGAAGAAAAAGAAATAAGGAGAGTGAAGATATTCAGGGAGGCTTTATGTAAATTAAAGTGATTTGTTGGTTGATCAGCATACTTGCTGTTAAACTATACATGCCTCCCAAATGTGACAGGGTTTTTTTTTAAGATTCAATTGTAAATAAAACTCGTCAGAAATAAATTGCTTATATTTGTTTTTGGTGGGGTTCTTTTTTGAAGGGGAAAGAGAGGACTACAGAAAACTTTATATCTAAATCATCTTTGAAGAAATAAATTTGTTTTAATGTAATTGTCTTAGCATCCATTGTTCCTGCAAGAAACATATTGACAAAACCAGATGATCTTAAGGAGTATGAACAGTATATTTTACAATTTCACATATGCCACAAACAATTTTTATTCATTTTGTATAATTAAATTTATTCTCTTTGTTCCCCTTCCCAATTAAATATATACATAAGAAAGAATGTTTTCAAAGGAGATATATTGGGTTTTTTGGCTCATTAAATTAAAAGAAAAAGAAAAAAATATTTTAAGGCATATTAAGTCAGTATTCAATGAAAAATGATCTAGCTGGATTATTCTCACTCAAATTTAAATTAGAAGCTCTTTGGGTTATTTTTCTTTGCTTGTTAGTGGAATAATAAACAGCTTATAACAAAATGTGTTTTTTGTCAGTACACATTAACCTTTACAGTCTATATCATCAGCAGAGATCCCTATTTAGACAGAATTCTTATTCTTATTCTTATTATCCTTTTCTCTGATAGTTCAAGGCACTATCAGTTTCCCCCTAATTTTGTCCCTACAAAGACAACCTCTTCTGAGGAGGACTAGATTGAAAAAGAATGAAGATGCCCAGGGTGCATTATGGTTATTTGTGAACTCAAAATGGCTCTGCTGGTCTAAGAGCACACTTCAGCTACTATACTCTACTGATTATAGCTTGAGTTTAATACTTTTAGTATCATACTTTTTTTTTGCATTTGTTCTCTACATTATCTTCTAAAGCAAAATACAGGTACCCCCTCAACTTATAACCATTCATTTAATAACTGTTGGAAATTACAATGGAGCTGGAAAACGGTCCTTTCAGGGTCCCTGAAATCATATGATCAAAATTTGGGTCGTCATGTATTTATAATGGTTGCAATGTCCTGTGACATGATTGCTATTTCCAACCTTCCCAGGGGACTTCCGACAAGTCAATGGGGGAAGATGAATATGCTTTACTTAACCACTGCAGCAGAAATTGGGCATGTCTCACTTAATGCCTGCATTGTTTAGAGACAAAGTTGCAGTCCAAACTCTGTAAGTTAAAGGTTACTTGTAATGAATTAAACGTTTATGGTTTTTCCTATTTATTACTTGTAATGTTCTAAAAACATTACCCAGATGCAATGTAAATAGGTACATGTTTGATAAAAATATATATATTTAAATATATAATTAAAAATATAACATAACCAAGATTAATTCTGGCACAGAAAAAAAAAGTCATTTCAGACCTGAAAACTAGCAGTTAAAGATGGGGTAAGTTTTGTTCTAACCATGTGCTGAGGAAAGTATAAGTTTGGTCTAACATTTTAATTCATGTTGCTGAAAAAGTGCAAACATTGTTTTTATTATCAGAAACACCTTTTCTCTGCAATATTCTAATATATGGAATATATTCTTATATGACTAACAAAAAGGATTGTTAGGGCCACCAGTATACACTACTTTCTCTGTTAAGCTAAAAAGGTTGCTATACTGTAAGAAAAAGATGTAAGAGGTTAGCAGCCACTAAGATATCAACATAGCATATCTTTTTAATGTTTTTGTATGTAACTGTGAGGCATGGGGCTGTATCTGCACACCTGCTAATTTCACATATGCTAGCACAGAATTCAAAATGCAAAAAAACAAATCTCTAAATCTGGGGCCCATCAGAGTTGTGATTTCCCCTATTTTTTTCCATGGCAAAATCATAAAAAGCTTTCTTCTTTCCTTGTCAAGTGCTACTGAATTAATTTTATCAGATGGACCAGATGGGAGACATGACCAGATAAGCTAATTCTCCATTACATTAACAATATCTTGTAAGCCTAAAAGTAAAAATTTCCCCCAATCACTTTTATAGCCTGATAATTTAGGGATGGCCCCTGCTGAGAGCCTTGTTCTGCCTACTATATAGGCTATCTTCTCTCTTATCTGGCTGCTCCCTAGGCAGTATCTCTTTATTGGTCTCCCAAGATCATTTCCATATACTATTACATTAGTAGAACAAGATGACATCTACTTTACCTACCTACTGTTCTTCCTGAGCAGAGAGCAAAGTCTTCAATAGGAGTAAGTGCTTGACTCCCTCATACATAAAGAGAAAAATTACTTTGGGGTAGCTTACTTTTCCAAATGTATGTTTTCTGAGGTTATTTAGTCTGCTGGGAGAATTAAAAAGCTGAATCAGCATTGTTTTATCTTTTTTTAATTACAGATAGTCCTTGACTTATGATCACTTGCTTAACAACTGTTCAAAGTTATGAAAGCACTGAAAAAATGACTTAGAACCAGTTCTTGCACTTACGACCATTATAATATCTCCATTGTAAAATTCTGGTGTTTGGCATTGATTTACAAGGGGGTCACTTGATCCCATTTTGTCACCTTTCCAGGGTAGCTTCTAACAAGCAAAGTCAACAGGGGAAGCTGGATTAAAGTGAATCTGGCTAAGTGATTTGCTTGATGATTACAACAAAAAGGTTGCAAAATAAGGTGTGACTTATTTAGTAGTGGTGATCATAAGAACTACCCGTATACTTTCAACACATGAAGAAAATGCTTACATTCACAAATGTAAACTTACATTCACAAAGTGCTTGTTCTGTAATTCTAAACCGGTAATTGCTTTTTAATATATTTGTAATTGTAACTATTTCTTTAAATGATGTAATAAATTTATTTTGATGTTAAATGCTACTTGAAGATGTTTTCATGAGAGGTGACATATAAATAAATGAAACCTGAAATGAATGACAGCCACTCCTCTAAAAATAGTTTGAAATCCTTTTTATCAATAGGAAACTCTTCAGGATGAATGCAATTATGAGTTATGTGGGCTGCCTTGACAAGCTGATCTTGCCCATACTGTGTTCCTCTCTTTCTAGTTCCAGTTCCTCCAAAATCTGTTACTTCTCTGATGATGAACAAAGATGGCTTCCTTGGTGGTGTGTCTGTAAACACAGGTGAAGTGTTTTGTTCAGTACCTGGGAGGCTCTCCTTGCTCAGTTCGACGTCCAAGTACAAAGTCACTGTTGGAGAAGTTCAACGGCGCCTTTCACCTCCTGAGTGCTTAAACGCTTCCCTCCTTGGAGGAGTCCTTAGAAGGTAAGTCATGAGGCAGGCCAATCTGTACTTTCTGATGGGATTAAAACTGCATTAAGATTACTATAAGCAGCCATTGAAATTAAGAGATATAAGTGGATGCATATGAGATATACTTAACAGTCTGGAGGTCATTGCCACCGGCACCCATTATATTATGCCAATCATGTTATATGGTTCATTAATTCTGTAAGACTGGCCACTTTCTTTAAATAATAAACTGGTTATTTCTGTCTGTTTATAATTCAGATCAATATCCTGGAGTTTATATTTTAAAGTTTCTCGCAGCTTCAAGAATATTCTGCCTAGATGTTAAGCAGATATAGGTAACAAATGGCAAAAAAGCTTTTTCACTAATGTCCAACCTCTACTGTTCACCCAGGGTGGCTCAGTACTTGTGAATGGAGTCTCTTAGGTCAACTGGATGTTTATCTGCCTTAGAAGGAGGTGGATGTGCTTCATTACAATCTTCCTCACTTTAGGATTATTCCTGTTTGCATTTCTGAATGTTGTTAAAAGCTATGCTGCAAACTGTCTGGAAGTTTTAACTGAATGTTACAATTGAATTAGTTTTAAACAATTAATGGTTATGAATTTTATAATTTACCATTTAGTTTGGTATATTGCACTAGTGAAGAATGAAGGAGCAGATGAGGTTTCAAATGCCTGAAATGTCTTAAGCAATCATTTAAAATTTTGTTCCTCTTCGCAGTATGAATTTATAATATTCATTTATTTTACATAATTGCTATAAGAATTTATAAGATCTGTAAAAACTTAAATATGATTGGAAACGATGAAGAAGGAATAGGTTCCTGATTTTTTTTGTACTCCCTTAACTTTAAGGATAGCATTATTGGGCAAATGTTATTATTGGGACTTATAGAATACAAGGCTTTCATGAAAAGCCCTTGAGTAAACATAGACACAATATTTGTCTTAAAAATAAAAAAGAACGGATAAAATAGGGATGAACAGTTCCACAATGGAAAAGAGTAAAACAGTGAAGACTGGTACTTCCCAGTTTGTTCAAAAACAACGTATAAATATGTGACCAAGCCCAGAAGACCCAAAACTGAGGAAGATATTAAAACAAAAAGGAATTAATAAAAAAATCTGAATAGGTATTTTTAAACTGGAAAAATGACTATACAATGTTATTCATTTGCAAGTAATGGTAAAATGATGCACACGAGAGTGAGGAAGATTATTTTTGTATAGAAGATCAGAACAAGAATACAGCCTTGTTTCTGTGGTGAACAATTTTAAAAAAAAATCAGTTTAATGTGAAATAGCTGAATTCCAATGCTAGGCAATCATTGGGAAGGATTCTGAAAATAAAATTTCCAGTATCAGTTCATTGATAATCTATAATACAACTACATTTGGAAAACCGCATAGTTTTTTTCAGTCGCAAAAAATGATATTGTAATGTTGGAGAAAATAGGGGGGGAAGAGGAACCAGAATAAGTGAAGGACCTGAAAGCATTATTAATAGCATTATTGTAAAGTATCAACTTAGGTAAAAGTTGAGTAAAGCAGAAATAACAAAAATATAAAACTACACATGATAAGGAAGAAATTGATAGAGAGGAATTATTTTATCTTTCTCAAAATGCCAGAACTTGGGATCATCAATTATAGTGGAATGATAGAATATGCAGCAGAAATAAAACGGAGGCACTTTTTATAATGCCTACCCTAGTTGAAGTATGGAATTCTCTATCATAGCACGGGTGGCTTGAAAAGACTTTAAAAAGATTTATTTCTTAAATGTTTATCCTGGAAATTTTATTTTTTATTAAACAAACATATATTGCTGCCCAACTGAAACATAGGTGACTCCTGACAGCTTACAATATTTATTTATTTTTTTAAAAAAACCATCATATAATAGAACTGCTAAAAAGAAAAATCTACTTCCCTACCCTACCTCCCATGGCAGCAATGATACAATTAGATTACCCAACTGGATTTCCTTCAGGTAGTATACACCAGCTCTCTTTCCTCCAAATTTTTTCACAACAACCCTGCTAAGAGATTGATTGGCCCCAAGTCACTTAGTGAAACTGAATCTCCCTGGTCCTAATTCAGCGCCTCAACCACAACACTGTGGCTATTAGTCATGATAGTAGCTATCTCCAGGAACAGCAGCATTGAAGAGAAGCCTTTGCTCCTATATGCTGGCTGGGAATTCTCAGTGTGACGTTTGAAGGCACAAGGTCAGAAAAAGGTTGTCCTAAAATTAACACATCCAATTTCAGAAAAAAACTGTAAGGTCTTCCAGAAACAATCACAAATTTCCAAATCTCTGTTCTCTAGTATATCTGGAGCTATGCTACTCAACCATTTTGACCATTTGCAAAAAAACCCTACATGCTGTGAGAATGAGCATATCTCCCTAATTTTGCAAGGCTACGATCATTTCCCCACTAGTGACTTCTAGTATTTTTCTGGCATCACTCAGACAATATAAAGTCCGTCATAACTGCTACATTGGGCCAATGATGGTTGGAACAGGGGTTCACCTGGGATTCACAAACATTAAGATCCCTTTACATACTTAAAAATGATTGGGGGTCCCAAAGAGTTTTGGTTTATGTGGGTTATACCTATTGATTTTGACTGTTAGAAATTAAAACTGGGAAATGTTAAAATATTTGACTTTGAGGACCCCTGAAAGCCGCCCCCCCCCCCCCCCCCCCTTAGAGAACCACTGCTCTAGTCTAGAAGATGCTAGTAGAGATCCTGTCTGTAGCTCACAGGCCATGGTCAGCCAAGCCAGTGCTCACTCTTGTCCTTCCAAATGGATCAACCACTGTCCACCTCACTAGATTTCATTGGATCCCTGCCTTGGAAATCAGCTCTGCACAAAAATAAAATACAATGCTGATGCACCCCACTTTTCTCCAGTAGTCCCCTACATCTATTTGTGATTATTTCATTCATTTGCCATAAAAAACAGGGAAATGGAGAGGCAGGGGGTGATGCTTATTTGAAAAACAATACACACATGGCACCCTAAACACCTCTCCTGGTGGAGGCCTAACAGCCATGTTGCCTTTGAATTCCTTCCTCTTCCTGTGCCAGGCAGCTGCTACAATAGGATCGCATCTTTTCAGGCACTTGTAAACCCTCATTTCTGAAGTGGCATTTGTTGCCTTGCATCATTACTGTTCAAAATTATTACTATATTATTACTATATTATTACTATATTACTTCTTATACGAAAGCATGCAGAACACTTGCTGGGTTTTGTTATTGCACACCATTAAAGCATACTTTCACAAATCTGCCCTACACTGCTGGGGGTGGTGGCACAGTTCCCTTTCCACACCACGTCATTCTCTGGCTCCAATCCAGTCTTTTTACTTCTTAGCCCCTTTGAGTGTTTTGTGAGCAGAATTACAACAGAAACAACCACAAATCACCACCCTTAAATGCTGCCGGTGACGCAGCTTTCCAAAAACCGCCAGTTTGTTCCTGGTAATAGTAGGGCCAAAGCTGACATAATCCTCCCCCCACCCCCGTTCACTTGCAGCCAGCAAACCCGAGGCCCAAGGAACAACGGGTTCAGGTTGCAGCGGGCTCGGCGAGCCTCTCTTGCCAAGGGGCGGCGTTTCTTTCTTTCTTTCCCGCCCTCTGGGCACCACGAAGCTTTCCCTGTGCCCGTTGCTTGCACACCAAGCCTGGTGCCCAAAGCCAGGACTTTGGTGCCTCCCACCCCTCAGCCCCCTCCTCTCTTTCTCTCTCTCTCTCTTTCCTGACATTCGTCGGAGTTTTAAATCCCCGCGTTCCTTTTTTCGTCATTGCAGAGCCAAATCGAAAAATGGGGGGCGATCGTTGCGAGAGCGGCTAGAAAAAATCGGTTTGAATTTACCAGCCGGCAGGCGCAAAGCGGCAAATGTCACTTTACTCACCTCCCTGGTGGAAGGTAAGCAGACTTTCTGTCCATTTCGATTTCTTCTCACTCCCCCCCCCCCCCGCACCCCCGCACCCCAACCTCCTCTGGCGACACTTCTGGGCGAGAAGTGACATTTTGTAAAGTTGCATCGAATCGTTGTTGCTGTGGCATGAAAAATCTGCCAAGCAGAAAATCAAGGCTCATTACTTATCCCAACTGGGGCTGTGTTTAAGATTCAGCAAGATTGGCATTTCCTTTTAAGTAACAGTATTACATGAATTCTGCAGTTGCCAGCTTAATTTTTTTCCTGTTTAAATGGTACTTCCAAAATTAAACACTGTTGTCATATATACTTGTTAAGACATACTAAGGAGTGGTTACGATATCTGTCCTCATGGAAGAGGAAGATACTTTAATTAAAACATTTTGAGGAGTGGGGAATAACACTCCCTTCAAACTAACTTCTCCACCAAACTTAAATGTATATACAGCATAGAAAAGGAAGTGTCACTGTATTTGTAGATGTGGAATTTGTTTTCAAATAAATATATATAGAACTAAAGAGTTCTGGAAAATATTTATTTTAAAATTTATTTGCAATGGGGTTACTTTAGGCCACTTAAAACCAGAAATGAAAAGACGTGTAAACATAACAGTAGCAAGATAATAAACCTATAAAATAAACAATGAAATTAATAATGAAAATACAGTACAGGAACATGAGATTAAAAGATTGGCCAGGGGAAGCAGGGAATTGGAGGGGGGAGGGGAGGTTGCTATCAATCTAGTAGCCAACTCCAGTGTGGTATTCCCCCTTTGGGCCCCCAATAAAACAAAGTTAAAAGAAATAAATGTTTATGTCATATGTTTTCTTGGACAACAGAACATTTCATCAGACTGATAGTTAAATATTGAACGTACCAGAGGTTAAAAAGAAATAATAATGAGAGAAGATATAGGGCAGTGAAATAGAAGTGAAACCAGGACGATTTTTTTATCAATAGCAACTACTTGCAAAACAATTGAAGAGAAGTGACATGCTATCATGTCACTCCTAGTCTTTCTTTTCATTAAAGTAGACATACCCATTTCAGCAGCCGTATTTTATATGTTTTAGCCTCCAGTCATCTTTGTTGCTTTTCTCTGCACTCTTTCTAGAGTCACAACTCCAGAAAGAGACTAGAGTGACTGGCCCAAAGTCACCCAGCTGAGTTTTATGTCTAAGACAGAACTAGAACTCACATTCTCCTGAGTTATGGCTCATGTCTTAACCAGTAGAGCAGACTAGCTCTATTATGATTGTTAATATATATTTTATAACAATGTTATTTCTCATCTGGGCCAACCAGTTTTTCACTGTAAAGCTAAATGTCAGTCCATCTGGCAGAAATTGGTACTTTCTATCAGTACTATTGAATCTGCTTCTAATAGTGCCCAAATATTTACAACCTATATATGAGTTATAGAAAGAGAGAAAGTTAGACAAGTGATAGAATATGAAATAGATATCTTTATAGTTTTCTTTCCCTATGTTAAGGATTCATCAGAGGTAATAGAATTGATATCACTTTTCTAAATTTTACTACAATAATTAAATATTCATGAGAAATTTGTTTCTCTCCAATTTCCTTATCTGTTCAGAACTGAATGTTATTCATTTATCAATCAAATAGTTACTAAAATGTATTTGCTTTTAAAGATTAAAATTCAGAGGTGTATATGGTGTTTACCTTCTTTCTTAGATTTTAAATTACAATATAGTATCATAGCTTGACAGAGCAAAGAAATATGAAAATAAATAGCAATGTAAGTTTTTAATTGTATACTTACCTCATCTTTTGTATGTCAAACTAATTCCTACTAGCAAGAGTAGGACTTTGGAGTAAGTATGTCTAGGATCATGGCTTTTAGATTAAAGAGTTGGCATAAGCTGTGTATTGCAGTCTACAGAGGCAAAGAGAATGGAATAGAAATAACTTCAGTTGTATTTGTTTATAATTTATCCAGTCAATTGAAATATACGATTTTTTCTAAAAAGAGTATGTTTCAGATTATACCCTTAATATTTGTGAGAGGAAGATGGCAAGAGGAAACAGACAAGAGGCAAAAATAACAAGAGGCCAATGTCAGCAAATTCAGACATGTATTGTATATTTAGATTTCACATGAATAACCTGGCTATAAGATTACAGTGATCTCTGTATTTGCTTTAGAATTAATCATGGATAAGATGGTTATCCAGTGAACATATACTACACAGGAAGGCTTCTATTCCAGGCGTATGTGTGTGTGTGTGTGTGTGTGTGTGTATCTGTGCGTGTGTCACTGTGTGTGTTTGTTTGCTTACATAACAGCAATAAGCCTGTGCTGGCAGAAGTGAGAGGCACCATGTGTTTTCTCCCATTCTGCTTCTGTTCTCTTTCCACTTCCCCCATTTCCAATTAACCTCTGGGAGATTAATAAAGGAGGATCAGTAGAGGTTCTGCTTGGTAGCTTCTCACACATCAGACATAGTTCTCTTGGAGGACGGTTTGCTAATCAGAATCAGGCCATGATTATACATTATGGTCAAGGTGTTCTAATTAACCATTATTTGATCCAAGGTTTGAGTTGAGATGGCATGCTAAGCCAAGCCACAGTACTGTATTATTTAGTAATTCATATGATCCAGGTGTGTAGTAACTCAGTGAGATAGATAAGATGGATTAATATATCACCAACTTATTTTATAATGGATGAATAGCATGCCTAAATATTCTGTTGTGTGCATTTATGCTGTTCTATCATTGCATTTCACGGCATCTTGTTTCTAATTATTGAGCTTCTGGGAACTGCTGGGGAGCAGTGCTTGGAACTTGTCCTTTAATTTGTTATACACTGTATGGCCTGACTTGAATAATTCAGAATATGAATTACTTGAATTGTGCCCAAAAAGACAAATGTACAGTATGTATTCAAAGGCACTATTTGTTTTTCACAGTTTTGAAGCCACATCCTAACTGGAATTGTTGACAGCAACAATTAATGAATAAGTTACATTTTATGTATTGATGTTTACTCAGTTCTTTATGTTTACTTGTTATGTTTCCTTCATTCAAAACATGTTTTATAATGTTGATATGCCTTGAACATGTCAAGATCTTTCACATTAACTGGGCCTCCTTCATAACTTTTTTTAAAGCTGAGGACTGAGGATTTGGAAGAGTGAGCTAAGGCCCACAAATCTGGATTGGGAGGTATTTTTTTCAAGGTAAAGTTTAATTGAGATAGTAAACACTACTGTTGGCTTTCAGGTAGATTGCAAATTGTCCTGAGCTGGTTATGGTGACCAAAGCTGCTTGTTTGTTCCTAGGAGAAGCTGTACATTTAGCTCGGGATTTTGGATACATCTGTGAAACTGAATTTCCGGCCAAAGCAGTTTCTGAATACCTAAACAGACAGCACACAGACCCTACTGATCTCCACTCCCGAAAGAATATGCTGCTTGCCACTAAGTGAGTAGAAATACAGTCCTTGAACAGGCTTTGATTTCAAGACCCTGGCCTAATTTTATTTTCTCTTGCATTAACAATCCATTTGGTTTCATTTCAAGGTTCAGTCTAAATGTTTTTGTTTTCATATATAAAAAGTAACTAGCCAATACTGGCCCAAATCTATTTCAAACTAAAAAAAGAAGAATGGGGAAAAAGAAGAATAAATGTGAACAAAGAGAGAAAAGACAGATAGAAAGATTTGTCAAAGAAAGTCAGATGTAAAAAGAATGAACAGAAATATAAGAAAATCACTTAATTAATTAATTAATTTCTTATAATTAATTACTTTTCCAATTCTATTCTGTGGGTACTGAAAATCCCTCCCCAGAGTATAACTGAATAAACACACTGGATGGGTTTACAATCTGGAAAATTTACCTTAAAGAAACAAATGTGTTGATATTTCAAATTATCATTACAACATATTAGAGAGATAAATGGAGATTTAGCATAAAATGACTTGTCAAAAGTAAATTGTGGTTGCCTGATATTAGCAATTTCCTGCATCCCAGGGATACCATTTATTATTGTATCTGATTGTCCTTCATTTGGTCTGCTGAATCTAGTGCCTATCAAAATAAATGTGTAAAACTTCACCCACTGGGTATGAATAAGGAGCTGTTTTAGTTTTTGGAATGTCTTTGAGGTGTTATTTCACCATCTTGGAACTCTCCAGAGTTGTAGCAATGTAATAAACATCTTCTTCATGGATAAAATATTCTAGGACATATTTGATAATTAGAAAATAATTCTGAAGCAATCCTGGGAATTATGCTAGGAGTCAGCCTGGAGACTATACCATGCTATAACTGCTCTACAGAAAAGGAAGGAGTATTTATGAAAAGCTCCAGAAAAGGAGATAGGGCTCCTTTCCTCTCCTGTGACAGACTGCAAGCTGAAATGAAATAGAATGCTAAATATTACTGAATAGATGAGCATGAAACCTTCAGTTCAAGGGCTGACAAACATTGTGGCTGTTGAAAATGCTTTTGCATCACAAGCTGCCAAACTAAAGTTTGGACACTACTTTTTGGGTCAGACAAAAAATAAAAATAAGACACAGACAAAGAGACCCCAACAATCTGGGTCCTCATTTTACCCACCTTGGAAGGATGGAATGCTGAGTCAACCTTGAGCCTGGTGAGATTCGAACTGCCAAATTGCAGTCAGCAGAAGTAGCCTGAGTACTGCATTCTAACCACTGTGCCACCATGGATAGCGACGATGCTAGCCAATAAACTTCACCTGCCAACTGAGTTTTTGCAGCTATCCACCTTCTTATAAATGTTATAAATCTACAGATAACAGACCTTGCTGCCAGTCGAATAATCTATGAGTTCTCCCACCATTATCAAAAAGAAGCTGGAGAACCTTAGTTGAGAATATTGCTTGTAAGTCAATCAAATGTAAAATTTCAAAATATACAGGTCTGAAAGACCAGTTCTAATTTCCTTGAACATGGTCCTAAAAAGCATGGTTATTTTTATCAAATGATCAAGATTATGTTAGCTGTATAACTAATGGTTAAAGTAATTTTTAACAATTCCTAAGTTGGTAATTGCAACAGAATATGGCACTATTTCTAGGTTTGGGAACCATGAAGTGTAGTGGAAGTGTTCAAGCATTCTTATTACTAATCTTGACACCTGTGGAAACTACTATACAGGTGAAACTCAAAAAATTAGAATATCATGCAAAAGTTCATTTATTTCAGTAATGCAACTTAAAAGGCGAACCTAATATATGAGATAGACTCATTACATGCAAAGCAAGATAGTTCAAGCTGATAATTGAGATAATTGAGGTGATTATGGCTTACAGCTCATGAAAACTCCAAATCCGCAATCTCAGAAAATTAGAATATTGTGAAAGGGTTCAATATTCTAGGCTGAAAATGTCCTACTCTAATCAGCTAATTAAGCCTGCAAAGGGTTCCTGAGCCTTTAAATAGTCTCTCAGTCTGGTTCAGTAGGAATCACAATCATGGGAAAAACTGCTAACCTGACATTTGTGCAGAAAACCATCATTGACACCCTCCATAAGGAGGGAAAGCCTCAAAAGGTAATTGCAAAAGAAGTTGGATGTTCCCAAAGTGCTGTATCAAAGCACATTAATAGAAAGCTATGTGGAAGGGAAAAGTGTGGAAGAAAAAGGTGCACAAGCAGCAGGGATGACCGCAGCCTGGAGAGGATTGTCAGGAAAAGGCCATTCAAAAGTGTTGGGGACTTTCATAAGGAGTGGACTGAGGCTGGAGTAAGTGCATCAAGAGCCACCACACACAGACGGATCCTGGACATGGGCTTCAAATGTCTTATTCCTCTTGTCAAGCCACTCCTGAACAACAAACAATGTCAGAAGCGTCTTACCTGGGCTAAAGAAAAACAGAACTGGTCTGTTGCTCAGTGGTCCAAAGTTCTCTTTTCTGATGAGAGCAACTTTTGCATCTCATTTGGAAACCAAGGACCCAGAGTCTGGAGGAAGAATGGTGAGGCACACACTGCAAGGTGCTTGAAGTCCAGTGTGAAGTTTCCACAGTCTGTATTGATTTGGGGAGCCATGTCATCTGCTGGTGTTGGTCCACTGTGCTTCATTAAGTCCAGGGTCAATGCAGCCATCTACCAGGAGATTTTGGAGCACTTCATGCTTCCTTCCACAGACAAGCTGTATGGGGATGCTGACTTCATTTTCCAGCAGGACTTGGCATCTGCCCACACTGTCAAAAGCACCAGAACCTGGTTCAATGACCATGAGATTACTGTGCTTGATTGGCCAGCAAACTTGCCTGACCTGAACCCCATAGAGAATCTATGGGGCATTGCCAAGAGACATGAGATCGAACAATGCAGAAGAGCTGAAGGCCGCTATTGAAGCATCCTGGTCTTCCATAATACCTCAGCAGTGCCACAAGCTGATAGCTTCCATGCCACACCACATTGAGGCAGTAATTGCTGCAAAAGGGGCCCAAACCAAGTACTGAGTACATATGCATGCTTATACTTTTCAGAGGTCCGATATTGTTTTATGTACAATCCTTGTTTTATTGATTGCATGTAATATTTTAATTTTCTGAGATTGTGGATTTGGGGTTTTCATGAGCTGTAAGCCATAATCATCACAATTATGACAAATCATAGCTTCAACTATCTTGTTTTGCATGTAATGAGTCTATCCCATATATTAGTTTCACCTTTTAAGTTGCATTATTGAAATAAATGAACTTTTGCACGATATTCTAATTTTTCAAGTTTCACCTGTATGCAGACTTCTTAGAAGTGAAAAGCAATTTTAAAAAAAGCCAGAGATAAAGAAAGCCCCACTAAGATGTGGCTTTTCTGCATGAAGATGCAAACCTATAGAAGCTGATTCTCACTGTGTAGGATATTTGCTCTTTCATTTAACAGCACATATTGTTTAATATTAAACACGGATGTTTAATATTTGTATCCATACGCTTATGAAATAATGATGTTTATGAAGTCAATCATAGAGAGAAGCTCTTCCTGAAGACATGAAATACATTGTCCTTGAGATATGACAACACTAGGCTGGACAAAAATTGATATATTTATATAATGACAAAAGTCATCAGAAAACTGGATCATAACTGCCTTGGCAGGGAATTTTATGACTACAGAGCAAAAGGGATATGGTTCACAATTAGACAAGTTGGCTCCAAGAAAATCAGGTCTTCCTGAATGCCTCTTCCCTGATTACAAATTGGACAGTCATCAGCATAAGTTAAATATTTGGTTTGGGGACTATCCAGTCTCAAAACCTCCAACCAAAAGAGAGACGGGAAAAAAGAATATGGCTAAGAACATTCTATCCATCGACTGAAGAGCTAAAATGGAATCAACTTGTTAACAGATAATCTGATCAGCATGAGAGTTGACAAATAACGTAGTGAATGAATTTGAATCATGAAGTATCATTTGTAGGGCTTAGAACATTTCCACAAATCAGACTTCAGATTCAGAAGACTTTGAGATATTGTAGAAACCAATTACTTCTGTCTCTTCACAATTCATGCATTTTTTTAAATCAGAAGATTTACTTCTCACAAGTGTTTTTTTTCCAACAAAGAATGTTTTTCCTCCTTGTGTTTCCTTATCCTTCTTTGCATCCATTGAAGCTGATTTATTAATAGCTTAAATTGGCAAATAAAGCACTAAAAAGCTTTAAGATATGACATTACCATTGCTGACGCAGAGAAGCTGACTACACATACATAATAAAACTACAGTATAGAGAAGCCAGAATTTTGTGATACAGTAAAGATGTTAAAAGATACTCATCTCAGAAACAAATGTACTTGATAATACAAGGAGCATTGCCAAAATGTATGTGACCAAAAGAGATATTAATCTTTACTTCAGTGAAGCATTTGCATACCTGGTAATATTAAAAGCCGTTCACAAGTGGTACCATTTACCAAGAGAGTTGGCAGGTTCTTCTTTACTGATTGTATTCAAGTGTATGAAGACAACAATCTCTGGGATGCTTTAATTTGGATTGTTGCACTTAGAATTGGATTGGACTCGATATCCTAGTGATTCATGTGGTTCTGTTTCTAGTTACACAACTGTTTGGCAGTTCAGTAAAACTAGAAGCAATTCAAATCCTCTATTTTACCCCAAGTGCCTTCTGAATACTCCTCTAGCCCTTTAATCTGTCTTCTATCAGTTGCTCTGTTCATGTTAATGGCAGTAGCTACTTATTTCACAGCCTCTTAAATCCTAAAATCCTCTGATGCCTAATCAAACATGGGTGCAACCTGTTCAAAGAGATCCTAGAATTCCCTCCAGGGACCAGATGTCTGGGGAATTAGAAGATGTGTTCATTAGGCATCAGGGCTCTTAGAGCAGCTGAAATCATAACCCTTTTAACCTTATCATTCCATACATTCTTGATGTTCTACCTACTATTTCATCATCTCATCTTTCTTTCTTTTCTTTCTTTCT